CAAGTCAACTCTTTCTGTATTTCAGCTTTCTTATCTATTAAAAAATGGAAAGCATAATTTTTGCCTAAGTCACAGTGAAAAACCAAAGAGATGTCTCCCATTACAAACTATTTTTAAAAGTGTGTAGAAGCCTTTGTCACACCCTGATAGGTAGTCGCTTAGATTTATATGGAAAATTATCCATATCACATATGCTTGGGAACTCAGCACATGAGAAATGTCTAATTTGGTTCTTCACAAACACCTTAGATAAACAAACATTGAATATTGTATCCAGGCTTGAAATGATCTATTTTTCACACTAACATAGTTCAGTATAGATATGTTCTAGGATAAACCTACTTGTATAATATACCCACAGATTTGTCTTTCTGTGAAGTTAACCTATAGCCAGGAATATGAACAGTAAGCAAGAAATATTTACAAAACAAAGGAAATGACATATCTACCAAGAGGAAGTTATGGGCAAAAGTTCTGAAGGACAGAATTTGCCAGGAACAAATGACAATCAGAAGTTAGTGGACAGAAAGGGAAGTGGAATGTGATGTCCTTATCACCAAGGGAGGCATCTAAGGCATTGTAGGTCATGGTAAGAGGCTTGAATCATACTTTAAGTGCTTTGAAATAATTCATTAAAAAAATAAAATAAAATATAATTCCCGGGGTTGGGGAGTTGGGGATTTAACTCATTGGAAAAAGCATTTGCCTAGCAAGTATAATGCCCTGGGTTTGGTCCTCAACTCTGGAAGGAAAAAACAAAAAACAAAAAAAACAAACAAAAAAAAAAAAAACAAGAAAAGAAAAGGAAAATGAAAAAAACAAACCCAATGTCCTACTCTGTGTGGTGTAGCTTGTCATATGTCATAGGCCAATTTCAAAGAAATTGGGTAGATATCTTAAGAATCCATGCAAAGAATGATAATATACTGACAGAGATGCTGTCACTTCGCAACAACCCTTCAACTTTTCTCCAATTTTTGCTTTAATCCTTAAAGCCTCCCACATACTTCCACAGATGGCTTACATATCATGTATCACCCTCAACCTCACCCACACACACAATCCCCATATATGTAGTACTCTGCTGCAGAATTCTTATCCTTCTCACTGCCACAAAGTTCTTGATCAGATAAGTCCTATCTACTAAGTCCTGGGATTTCCTGCAAAACATAAGTGTTTCATAAATATTTGTTAAATGGATAAGTCAAGGGAAGAATAGATAAGGAGAACAAGAAAAGAGATATTTTAATAGAGGGAGCCATTATAGGTTTAAAGAGAAATGTGGCACTAGAGAAATGTCTAGTGATTCACAAGGATAACCCCAACTAATAATGTAAGCAATAGGGGAGAGGCTACCTTAAATGTCCTTCTTTTATAACAAGATTGATGACTACCTTAAATGCCCTCATAGAGCCTTCATTCAGTAGGTGATAGAAGCAGAAATTCACAGCCAAGCACTGAGACAAACTCCTTTGAATCCAGTTGGAGAGAGGGAGGAGTGATGAACAAAGGGGTCCACAGAAACAGCTGACCTGAGCAAGTGGAAGTTCACGGACCCAAGTCTGACATCTGGGGAAGCAGCATAGGACTGAACCAGGCACTCTGAATGTGGGTGTCAGTTGTGACATTTATTTTTAATATACTATTTATTCTTCGAGAGTACCATACATGTATGCATGATCTCTCTCTCTCTTTCTCTCTCTCTCTCTCTCTCACACACACAACCAAACACACACACACACACACACACACACACACACACACACACACAGCCCTACCCCTCCACTCCAGCTCATCCTAGCTTTCTATCACATCTTCCTCCCAACCTCGTGTCCTTTATGTCTTCATGTTCTTTATCACTGAGTCCACTTAGTACTTCCAGTATGGACATGGCTATAAGGTTAAATGCCAATGCATGGACAACCTATCAGGGATCCCATCTCTAAAGAAAACTGACTTTTCCCTCATCCTTTTACCCACCAGGAATCAAATGGTAAATAGACTCTTGTTAAGGGTGGGGCCACACCCCTATCCATGCAGAATTTTTGAATGGCTTGATCTGAGTGCTGTGATATTTCTTATTGAGACAATTAGTTTGCATTGAGGAAGTGCTTTCAACCAACTTCCTGGTAAACTACTGTCATTACTAGACAGGTGAAATTTGAGGGCTTTATTTATTTATTTATTTATTTATCACCTACGAACTCCAAAACCTAGGAGTTAAACTACATTTTCTGCAAACTTTGTATTCAGAAAGTCTGGAGTGATATAAGTGTTTTTATTTTTTAAGAGGAAAACTGTATTTAATTCTATAATAATGTGTATATACTAACATGATGTTAAGGCACCTGCTTTAGAATCAAAACTTCGATGTTGGAGATAATAGCAATAAACAAATATCCAACCAAATTGGGCTTGGTGCCCAGGAAAACTAGCCAGATGACAAGAACTGGCATAGCAATTTACTAATTAAGCAGGAGTAGATGATCTCTGCTGCAGAATTTTGTTAGGACTTTAGTGATTGTGGGTGGGGTTTCTGACCAGTTAGTTCATTTCAATGACAAATGTTCAGCGGAATTTGCCTCCTTGACATGTGCATCTTAAACAGTGTTCCTCCATTGTGTGAGAGCTTTTATAATGCAATAAACTACTTGGAGACAAACAGACCAGAAGTAAAAATAGGTGCTCAAAACAACTTTAACTGAATCAGAAGGAAAGTCTAGAGTTTCCCAGGATGCTGAAATGACGCACAATTTACATGAAAAGGGACGGAAATCCTCTGTGTGTTCAGGGGTGTGTCTAATACACATGCCTAATACACATTTCCTGGTATTGAAAAATAGTCTTTAATATGTTCAGCACATTTTAGGGGCTGCATATATATCAGGTGTGTTGTTTCTTTTAACAAGAACGTGTTTGTGTACAGCACAACTATTGGAGAAGCACATTCAAGTCTCTTTTTCATCGAAGGAGGTATGTGATGAATTGAAAAAAGTAATAAAAGGGGAAGGGAAAGGAAAGGAAAGGAAAGAACATGACTGATCCTAGGTATGGCAGAGGAGAAAGTTTATTGTAGATTAAAGGGAGAGCATAGGTAGAGATAGGGGAATCTGGGAGATTCCAGTGAAGACATAACTAAGCCGAGCTGGGCCATGTGGAGAGAGGAAAGGGAGAAGGGAAAAGGGGGAAGGAGTAACCAAATGCAGCAGTCAGGAAGCCAAAGGTACAAAAGGAAAGGTAGCCAAATTTTCTGGCTTATATAGGGAAGAGCAATGTCCCATGTGTTCGTGTGTGTGTGTGTGTGTGTGTGTGTGTGTGTGTGTGTGTGTGTGTGTGTGTAGAAATGATCATTCCTAATTGTTGCAATAGCCTGGAACAGTAGTTCTCAACCTTCCTAATGCTATGATACTTTAATACAATCCTTATGGTATGGAGACCTCCAACTATGAAATTATTTTCATTGCTACTTCATAACTGTAACTTTGGTACTGTTATGAAAGTACCACGTGCCATCATGATCCAAAGGTTGAGAGGCCATTTGTGATCGTGTAACTGAGTAGTGCAAGAATAATGACTTTCTAACCACAGAAAGGTGTGAAATGTTCAGAATATTTTACCCAAATATAACTGAACTAATGAGCAACAAGCCAAAGCATTGTTTGATGTCTAAAAACACTAGCTAAATTCAGGTTAGGAGCAAAGGAAGATTGTACTAATGCCCTAAAGACAGACTCCATGCTGGACTTGGAGACTCACCATAGGTAATGGCAGTCACCCCATTGGCTTCTCTCTTGATCTCTCCTACCTCAGTGTGAGCTGTAGGAGACATGAATCATAGATGCTTCATTTAAAAACATATGTGTTTGCATGTGTGTACCTGGAGCTAAAGTCAAGGTAATAGTGAGACTCCCTGTCACATGACTGGGAACCAAACTCATATCCTCTGCAAGAACAGCAAGTTCTCTTACTGCTGAGCCCTCCCTGCAGCCCATAGAGACTTCTCAGCAACTATTAGAGCAAGTTCTTTCTCTTCCTCATCCCTGGAAACTCTTTTTGCCTCCTGCTGAGTGTCTGTACAGTTGTTAAGAACAAGGATAAAATATTCCCGAGATGCACACTGCTCCCAAAGGCTGTGATGGGATCAAGGCCATTGCAGTCAGTGGTATTTGGCACTTTTCCTAACTCCTTCATGATTTTGCTGTTTACTCTGACTTCTGAAGACATGACTCAGTGGCTTATTGGAAAGCCTTGTCAAGATCTCTAATTACCTCCTCCACCATCCTTGCACCTTAAATTAACAAAGTAGGCAAATGCAGGAAAGTTGGGGATGCCTATTTACCAGTACCTGTGCTGAAGTTTGCCTGAGAGGCAGTGCTGCCCACCTGCAGCAGGAAAGATTTGAAACTACTTATGGTGGAAGGAATGTCCTGGTCCTCAGGTTTAGAAACTAAAAGAATTCATATTGGAGCTAAGCCCAGAATGCTAGCCAGATAGTCTTAATCAGATGTAAACGAGATACAAACTGGGTCATGCTATAAAGTCAAGTCTATCACTGGAGCTCAAGTATTTACAATGAACAATAAAACTGGAAATGGACCCAGTAACTACCCCAAGGAATTGGTAACCTTCCCCTCACTTAAAATTCAGCCTTCCTAATGAGCTCTACCTGATGTCTGCCTGCCCTGCATATTTCTTTTCCCGAGAGCTGTAATTGTGCACCTGTAGCCTCCATTAAATTACTTGGTGTAGTTCAGTTAAGATGTTTTCAGTTAAATTGCATGGAGACATATATGAAGCAACAATTGAATTATAAACTGCTTTGAAGGGGGAGGTTATGCCTTCTTTTTCTCTTGCATTCACTACTCACTAGAGACATCCCCCATCTCCTCTCCACACAAATGCACATTTGATTTTATGTGAAAGTAAAACTGAATGAGGAAATCAACCAGTTTGCCTGCCCCCTAATCAGTGTTGTTTTTTGTTTGTTTGTTTGTTTACAGTGACAAACAAGAAACCCACACAGGCATCTATCACAAAGGTCAAACAATTTGAGGGTTCCACGTCATTCGTCCGCAGATCCCAGTGGATGCTTGAGCAGCTTCGCCAGGTTAATGGTATCGATCCTAATCGGGTGAGTGAATTTTCCAGTGCTAAGCAAAGGACTTCCCTTCACATCGTGACTACTTGAGCACAGCAGTGGTGATGGCAGTTAGGGTCATTCTTATCAGGCTATTTTCTGTTTCAGTTGTGTGATCAAAACTTCCCAGTCCCTGTTCCTGTCTTATAGGAAATTGTAAATCTCCTATGTTTGATAGGAAACCTCAAGAGAGATAGCACATAGAAAACTGCTACCTCCAGCAATGTTTATCAACACAGGCAGAGTTCAAAGAAACGTGCCCCTAGCAGTGTATATGAAGACCCAGGCTTGTCAAAATTTCATTCACCTCTCAAAGCCAATAAATTTATGATGTTTTAAAATAATGAATTAGGATTCCAACAGAAATGTGTTACGATGTAAGCAGCTATTCAAAGGACCCATTCCCTTTTGTCCACACACAGCACTGTCTCCAGGCATCAATGAAGTGCTGAAGGAACAAGGAAGATTCCTTTCCAACCTCTACATAAAGAAAATAATAGATAACAATGAGGAAAACATAAAGCAATGCTTTCTTCCAGTAATTGGGCAGATGCTACAGGGTTGGCCCTCTGACACAAGTCTTGACCACTGAAGTACTCGCTTCCTAGGGACATCTCTAAATAAAGAACAACTTGGATTTATTTGCTTGTAGACTCTACATGAATTTGTGTCATGGTAAAGATGAAATCTAAGGTCCGTTTTTTTGAGTCTTTGTTTTAGCTTTTGTGCCTCTTTTGACAGGCCAGGGCTCAAAGCAGAAGTTAGTGTAGATCGCGATTAAGTAGTTATTTCACTATCTTTTCCAGGATTCTGCAGAGTTTGATTTGTTGTTTGAAAATGCCTTTGACCAATGGGTTGCTAGCACGGCTTCAGAAAAGTGCACCTTCTTCCAGATCCTCCACCATACCTGCCAGAGGTACCTCACAGACAGGAAGCCAGAATTTATTAACTGCCAATCCAAAATAATGGGAGGTAAGTGGGCACCTACACTATTTTAGCCATCCTATTTAATGATACTCATTTTCATATAAGAAGTTGGGTGTGGAGCAACTTAATTAAAGACAAACAAAAGCATCAAAATGCTCAGAATTTGTTGCCATTAGGGAGTTTGTTGTGAGTAAGCCACATCTAGAAGTAAAGACATGCTTTCACTCTTCCAGGAGAGCTGTTCTTGTTAGAAAAAAAATTATCAGCTTAACTAATAGAGTTGTACTGTGAGAATAAACCTGTCTCCTATAAAAACTTTTCACATTGATCTCTTTGCTGCCTTTGCTATAATTCTATTTCAGAACACTCTTTTGGGTTCTTTCTTCCTATTTTTCTTCTGAGAATGTTTTCAAATTCCTCCTGAAACCGTCCCTGCTGTCCTTTCTTGTATTACTTTTTACGAAATCACTGTGATAGGATACTTGACAGAAACACCTGGCAGGAGGAATGATTTATTTTCACTCACAGTTCAGGGAATACAGTCCATTCACAATGAGAAATGCATTCCCAGTTATGGTGGTTAGAACAGCTGGATATGTACCAGAAGATGCTTACATTGTAACATTTTAGGAAGCAGAGATAGCCTGCAGCATTCAAATTTGTCCATCCCCCTAAATGTAAGCTCCATGTCCAAAAGGTTCTGAAACCTCCAAAAATTGTGCCACCACCTAGAGACAGAATGTTCCAGCATATAAGCCCGTGGATTGCATTTCATTTCAGACTGTATCACTTTCTGTCAAAGCCTTCCTTGTTCATTCAGGAACATCATTCAGAGGTGAATTAGTATTGAAAGCCAGGCTGAAGATGCACACATGGAAAATGGAAACATTTAAGGATTCCCACATCTTCCTTTACAGTGGCAAGGCCTCTTAGGAAACCCAAGCTCCTAAAAAAATGAAAGCCTTTCACTCTAAGTTGGGGAGATAGTTCATAACATGGCCTCTTCACTGACTTATTTTACTGAACTACAAAAAATATTTTTTTTTAATGTACCAACTTTGCCACCATCAAATACTGAGAAGATCCCATTAGAGATATTGCATTCTCTTCTTGGCCTCTACTTATCTTTCATGTGACTATGGGGTAAAATGAAAGCTCTGTGCTGGCAATCGATATGCTCATGCTTGTTTTGCTATTCATGTATAAGATGTTGTATTGATAATACACTGTCTACTTTGTTTTTGTCCTGTGGTTATTTTTTTCTTGGAAACCTTTGACGGTATGCATCAAGGCAGTTCTATACTATTGTTCCCCTGTTTAATTATAAAATATTTGGAATGATGAGTGTTATATATTTTTGTTAATATGGTTACTTCATACTGCATGAAACTTTAAGATAAGTGTAGAAAAGAAGTATCACATGCTGACCAATTTGGAAAAGGTAGTGGGTTATAGTCCCCTGCTGAGCCTTTGCTACTTGGAGATCTTCAAATTAATTATGCATTAAAAGCCCATCATTAACCAACTTGGTAAATGGGCAAATGATGTTTTGGGACCACTTGTGGCTGTTTTCAGTGAGTAGAAAGTTTGTTCAGAAAACTAAGCTTTTACTTACTCTTCATCAGATGGGGTTTGCTTTTCTGGCCTACCATCAGACTGGTTCCTGTTGTAAAACATTTTTTTCCTTGAGGATGCTATATTCACTGACTTGTATAACTGGGTCTCCTGGTTCTCTTTGAGAGGACTTCTCCTGAGCATTGCACATCTCTGTATCCCACACTGAGAATGGAGAATCCAGAAGGAGACTCAGTGTCATGGGAGCCCCTGCATCTTTCACACAATCTTCATTCACCTTGAATATACCCATATTCCTCACAAGTTATACCCAGCTGGGTCTATTGGTCATTGGCACTATCTTCTATTACCTTCTATTGCCTTGTGAATCTCAAAGATTCAGCACTGAGATAGAAGCTGTATTTCTAATCCCAAGCAATTGATATGTATAGTGGGTAAAACTAGATTACTCTCCTATAGTCTGAAAAAGAATAAGCTAATGAGATCAGACACCAGAACTAATTTTGATTCCTATGACTCTAGGTATAGATAATAGACTAGAGGATTTTGGTGCTATCATTTAGAGAATCCATAGTCCCTATGGCTTAGTTTATTGTCTAATATTCTTGACTAAGGAATTAAATAATTTACTTGGATAAATATTTGCTGCTCCTGCATTCCTTAGGAGCACCAGAAAGTTTGTATTGAGCTTGCTGTAATTTGCTGGCAGCATAAATGTCCTGAATGTAATCTCTCTTATTCAAACAGTTGTGTACCTTTGATAAGAGTTGTACTAACACAGCCTAATGAATTAGTACTCTTAGTAGTATTCCTTTCTTCCAGTTACATAATTCTGAAACTTCAAAATGGTGTTTCTTGGATGACTCTAGTCTGACCCTTTTACTTTAGTGGAGCTGTTCCATCTTCATCAGATTAAACTCTGCCTAATTTCACAAAATCTTTTCTTATCAACTTCTATTCAGGTCACAAGTTGTAAATGCAAGTGTTCATTTTACTTTGAAATATGGCAGTTGTGTCATTTTTAGAAAACTATTACCATTGGTATGCTGACCCCCTCCCCAATAATCTCTCTACATATGTTATCTTACTTGGCATGAATACAGCCTTTGGAAATACAATGTATTATCTCTACAGAGAAGGAAACAGAATCAGGGTTATTAACTAGCGAGGAAAGGGTGATATCACTTTTTAGGAGTGGAGATAAGAGTCCAGCAATGGCTTTCACAGGCCTTAAGGCATCTTACTTAGATAACGCTACATGGCTTTAGTGTGACCGGCGCTCCTTGAGTTCTGCAAGAATTGTTGAGAATGTTTTACCTAGAACATTCCTGGATTTTAAAGGGGGTCTGGATAGGAGGAATGGGCCAGAGATTGTGGATAATTTAAATGTCTTTCTTGTCACTTTGTGGATATATAATTAAGAATGTATAATCTTACTTTTTGTCCTAAGAGCCACAAATTCATCAATGACCTTTAAAATCCTCTGACTTTGCACTGTTTGTTTGTTTGTGGAGAGGGGGTGATCAGAATTTCAGTAGATTAGACAGATAAGAACACAAGAAAGATGGTATGGTTGTGGTGCTGCACATATCACCTCCCTGGGACTCCAAGTCTGCTCCAGTGCTGTCCTTTGGAAAACTGAGGCCTGGTGGTTTTAAATGACTTTATTAATACCAAGAGTGTATGTCTGTCCCCTGAATAATAATTTCTCTAACACCAGTCCAATGTAAGGTTATTACTTAAATATCAACAAGCCCAAGCCAGCCTACGCCTACATTTTTAAACTATTCAGCCCATGTGTGATTGTATTTCCCTTTTTCTCATGGGGAAGGTCAATTACAAAGAAATGAAATTGTTGCTTTGACATATTTATTCAAACTTCTCTCACCCAAAATGATATTTCCTGAGCTCCAAAAGAAAATTGAGACATTTAGGCCTCCTCATGTTAGTTTGTGGTCTGAGAAAGATGTGAGTCAAGTGTACATGGTTAGTGGAAACCCTTCAAAAGCTGGAAGCAAAGTAGCATTCTCTGAGAGATGTAAAAGGGACTTGCTGGCATCTCCTCATGTCTCTTGTGGCTGGTACTTCTGTGGCGGTCTTCTTCTTTCCAGACTGTTGAAGAATTAGTGAGCTAGGACAACATTCTCAATCCCATTCCTAGCCTTTATATACCACCCTTCTCCTTCCCTATGGGCCAGACTCTTCAAATTTAAATCTATCCATTATTTTATATTATTGTATGTTTGGTTTTTGGAGACAGGGTTTCTCTGTGGCTTTGGAGGCTGTCCTGGAACTATCTCTTGTAGACCAGGCTGGTCTTGAACTCACAGAGATCCACCTGCCTCTGCCTCCCGACTGATAGTACTAAAGGAGTGTGCTATCACCACCCAGCTACATTGAGTTTTCTGATATCTCAATCTACCTAACCACACACAGAGACTGATGGGAAGAGTGGGAGTTAGTTATAGCTGCCAAAATCTGACATGTTATCCTGATTGGGATCCCTCCAGGTGAAGTATCAAGTTAACATAGCTTTTATGTTTCTCTGTATTTATTTTACACATGGATGATGATAGGACAAGGACATTATCCTCATAATAACATATGCATGCTTGAATCTTTGGCTCCTGGGGAGAGACTTTTATTATACAAAATACAGTCAGCTCCAAATGGAGCATTCATTTAGGAAATGGGTATTTTATTTTATATTAATTCAAGGTCCCAATTCTAGTTTTGTTATTTTATTTAACTTTATTGCTCTTAGTAAACTGTGAACAGTTTCCAATGGTTCCCACCTTGTGTTTATAACCCCGCCTTTTACAGCAATTACTGCCAACTTATTTGGATTCCTGGTGTTTTAGGCTTCAGTTTTATATTTCTTTATTTTTATTACTTTTTTTAAAATTATTGTTCTTATTTTACATATCCATCCCAGTTCCCTCTCCCTCCCATCCTCCCATGCCCCCCCAAAGACCCTCTCCCATTCCATTCCCCACCCACTCCACAGGGAGGGTGAGGCCTTCCAAGAGGGATCATCAAAATCTGTAAAATTATTTGTAGTAGGGTCTTGGCCCTCCCTCCTGTCTTTAGGTTAAGGGAGTATCCCTCCATGGGGAATGTGTTCCCAAAGTCCTTTCATGCACCAGGGAGATATCCTGGTTCCACTGTCAAAGACCCCTCAGACTGCCCAGGCCTTCTAACTGAGACCCATGTTCAGGGGCTCTGGTTCAGTCCAATGATGGTTTCCTAGCTATCAGTCTGGGGGTCCATGAGCTCCCCTTAGTTCAGGTCAGCTGTCTCTGTGGGTTTCTGTAGCCTGGTCCTGACCCCTTCGCTAATCACTTCTCCCTCTCGGCAACTGGATTCCAGGAGTGCAGATCAGTGTTTATCTGTAGGTGTCTTCTGTTTCCATCAGCTACTAGATCAGGGCTCTAAGATGACATGTAAGTTAGTTATCACTCTCATTATCA